GGGATGGTTTGGCCTCTCTAGCGGAGCCTGCCAATCACACAGGCAGGCTCAAAAGCTCACGGGGAAAAAGTACCAGCTCCTCTTGTAAAGGAACCTGAAGTACAGTCCCAAGAGCATCTGCTCATGAAACGCTTCCTGGGTACCCAGAGAAAAAAAATCCAGAAGGAAGCCAAGAGGGCCAGAGATCAGCTGCTCAAAGCCGGAGGCTGCAGAACTTTTGTAAAGTTGAAGAAAAAACCTCAAACCTTAAGGATAAATGCCTCGCTAACATGCAATAGGATCCTGCGCAGAGCAGAACAGGTAAGAGGTCCGTACGGAAAAGCATTCCAAACCATCGGCTGCTTTTTACCTGCTTACTACAGGCGCTTAACAAAGTTTCACTCAGTGGTTGGGATTAGTTGTACAAATCAGTTTTGTGAAAGGACCAATGACATTAATAACAAACAGTCAGTGCATACTGGTAATAAGTAGCGCGCAACACTTGACAGAGAAGACAATACTAGGCCTACAGCAAACCCGTCCGTTGTTCCTGGGCGGTGCAGGAGCCTGCTCTCTTTCTAGAAGGGTGCTTCGCAGCCCACACTCCAAAGGCCATTTGCAAATTTTACCCGTGTCGTTCCTGTAATGAATCAGGCCATTTTATTTCCGCTGATATCATGGTTATGATCATCTATGGCTGTCAGTGCAGGTGCAAAGAGAGTGCGGGGTTGAAAAAAAGCAGGATCTCAAGCAGTTTTAAAATGTAGTTGTGAAGTTGTAGCTTAGCTGGTAAGACAAGTCTCCTCCCTTGATGACAGCGCAGATTCTCTTCCATCTCTATACCACAAAAAGTTATACTCGATGCGCTCGTTTCTCCACAGTGGACAACGCTGGGTAGTGGTACTTGGTATTAGGTCAGCTCTAATAGTTTATTCTCCAAACTCACATGTTAAAGAAAATCTACTAAGACGTCCTGATGAGTGGGGACCTTTCATCTTCAGTACTCTGAAAGAAAAAGAAAAAAAAAAAAAAAAAAAAAAAAAAAAAAAAAAAAACAAAACACAAAAAAAAAAAGGCGCACGTAGAGTTCTTTGTAACTCTGAAAAAAAAAAAAAAAAAAAAAAAAAAAAAAAAAAAAAAAAAAAGAAATAGCACACAGCAAAGTTAAATGGGGCACGTTAGAGAGCTTCCACAGTGGGGAAGCTGGATTGCTGGGACTCCAAACAGGAAAGGAAAAAGCTCTTGGCTTCTACTTCTAAGAACAATTTCCTGTAAGAGAACCAGCACTGCACTAAAAAGCACCAGAGGGTGGGTGGCGGCTTGGGCAGGGACCTCGGGCTCACTGTAGCACCTCAGAGATGAGGGAGGACCTTAACCACACTGGTGGGAGGGGGATCACAGGGAGAGCTACAACTAGCTGAATTACTTCTGCTTGCAGAAAAAGCAACAAAAGCAAGGTAGAGAATACACGGAATTTAGGTGTCCCTTTGTCATTTTAATCCCTGTGCAGTGTTCAAGAGCATCCAAGAGAGGTGGTATGAAGGTATACATGTAGGGAGGGGCAGGGATGCCT